CTGTAGTGTAAGAACAAAAATAGTTCGTTTGTCTTCAGTACGGATTGCGGCCGCTCCTCACACCCGCGTGCCGTTATTTATCTCAATGTTTTATATTCTCTTACACAAGTAAACATATAATGACTGTTTATATTCTTTCAGGGTATAGAGAAGTTACCAGACGATATTGTGAAGGATTTACGTGATGCGCATACAACTTTAGGCTATGTGGAGGCAGCAAGGTGGTTAATTGTTGTCATTGCAGCATTTATGTGTATTGGTTCAGCGGTGTGTGTCGTACGATCAGGCGCGGCAGCCGTGTGGCCCCGAACGAATAATTTTGTATTAAACGCTGGAAATCGTTTAGATATTAATAAAGGACGAAATTAGATTGTAATGACCCACGAGAGACAGTAATTTGATCTTTGACACTTATTGAATATTAGAGATTATTTCGTGGTGGTTATTTTGTTTTGTAAGAGCCTAGAGTCATTTCAATAATTATGTTGTTCTATTTATTAATATAATAAAAAGGCACAACTAATCTACCAAAATTAAAACAAAATTCGTGCCAGTTTTAACAAATAAAAACATTACAAAACTGTCGAAACAAGTCAGTACAAACCGCAGTATCGAAACGAAAAATTCATCTTCTGTAAACAATTTTATATTAAAACTTCATTCACATTAATGCGAACTTCACTTCGCATTAATGTGATTTTACTTAGCCTACCTCTTTAGTAAATACCAACATGGATCATTTTGCTATGCTACCCCAGAGACTGTTCGGTTTTCTGGAATAAAAACTTTTTAGGTTGTTCTGTGAATTTTTCTCTATATAATACCTTATTATGTATACCTTGGAGTTAAAGTCATAATTAACAAATAAAAAATAGTCGTTGATCGTAGAGGGGTGAAAATTAAGGGTTGTATGTATTTTTGTATAATGTATCAAAAAATATTTTTTTTGCGTTAACACCCCACTTCACTATCACTTAGGGTTTTGAAAGATAGATAGTTGCCGATTCTCAGACTTACTGAATATGCATACAAAATTTCATAAGAATCGGTCGACCCGTTTCGGAGGAGTATGGGAACGAACATTGTGACACAAGAATTTTATAGAGATATATATAATATAATATATTATATATTAGATATTGACAAATTAAAGTCATACGGCATGGCATTTATGTCTTTTATTCTGCGCTTTAAGTTGTTTACTCTTTCAAATTATGTAATTGAGACCTTCATATTTTTTTTTATATTGACGTTTATATATTTAAGTACATATACAATATGAATAAATAAATTTTGATTTGATTTATTTTACAGTAAGATGTTTTTTTTGGGAACATCGATAACAATTTTTTTAAAGAAAATGGGCCCTTAATTCTTATGATTACTTGGGTACTGATTTTATTAATAGTTAATATATTTATATTGTTTATTATAAATTATAATATTAATGCCTGTATATATTTTTTTGTTTAAATTGTTGTGAATATTACATTGTTAATTTTTGATCAGTAGAATTTATTGTAAAAAACAAGGTACCTTGTTTATATAATGTATGATATATAAATAAAACTCTACAAGAATCCAGAGTTTTTTTTCTTCAATACAAAATGAACTTCGTATATGTTTATAGTAATAGAGTCCAAAAATTGTTATTACATTTTTGACGGCACATGCATTATTATGTTTTGGTCATATTTGGAATTTATTTAGATGAATGATAATTTATTGGCAAGGTGATCGGTTCTCCGTAATTAAGATTTCCTCATACCTTAGCCGTTCGAGGAAATATCAATTGCAATAATTTGCTCTATTTATAAAAACAACTAAAAGTAATAAGTTGTAACATGTTCTAACTTTTAACATCGAAACTACTAAGGAAATTATTCTGTGCACAATGTTAGTAATACTCGTTTACCTAATTTCACTTTCTTGAAATAGATAGCTTTATAAATAGCATAAAGTTTTAGTTTAGATTGTAATTCTAACAAATAATCATAAAAGTTAATGCGACAGTTTAATCGTAATTATGTTTAAATTAATCTCTTCAGTCTAATTAGAAAAATTATTGTAATATACATTTAGTGTTTTTTAAACTATTTTCACTAAATACATCACTATGTTTAATAGGAAAACAACTTTCATTTGATAAAGATATATGTATTTATAATAAGTGTGTATATGTAATGTACTTAGTATCCTAGTAATAATAGCATTACCTTTTAGTTTTCCTGAAAAAAAAAACAAAATTTTGGTCTTACGACTTTGTTCTCCGGGACAAGCGAAAATCTTCAAAATCAGTGTAAAATGTTAGTGTCGTCAATCACCCCTAAAATAGGTGAAAATTTTCCAATCTAATGAATATATGAAATTGTCGACGCTCGGCTATACGTCACTCAATCGTCACGAATTGCGCGTGACTCGTGATACAACTACGAGTGCGTTCCACTAAGCGTTCACAACGCTCACGCTCACGACCGCGATTTCCCCATTCCACTTGATTGTGAATGTTACTGTCGTTAACTCAAGTGGAATGGATTATGGAGCGTTTCGGGCGTTCATGTAAATATTACAAATGTCAAGTTTGAAAATAGTAGAATTTTAAGGAGGTTAGGTAATCCTAAACAATAAGTTTTAATATTTGTGACTTAAATTTATTTATGTTAAAAGTGAAGAATAATTGAATATTTTATAAATAATTTTGGTGAAGTTATCAAACAACTTATAATCGAAATGGCTTTGGCGGCAGTTGGATATTATAAAATGTATTTTAAAATATTTGGACTACAAAGTCTTGTCTTTTTAATAAAATTTGTTTCTGTTACTTTAATAATATAAAAGGAATTATAATAAAAGTAATTTTCATGCTTACAAACAAATTTTTTTTTAATTTAATATTTAAATGCTTATTTGTTGGCTAATTTTTCTAAAACTTGAAGAAATTTCTCATCCATTTTCATTCGCTCTAAGTGTCTTTTTTTTATTTTCTTCATGTTCCTCTTTTTGATGCAATCTTTTTCCCAGTAAAGATGCTATCGACGCCTTACTTGTTTCTAGAATGAAATTGAATTTGTAAATTAGTTACAATTAAAATTATCTCACATAATCAACCTACTTAGTGAACATCCGCTATCAGATCCCGCTGTACTATCATTATTTTCTGCTTCTTTCAACGACAGACCAGTAGAAGATGCAACTGCAACTGGATTGCACCATGCTTTTTTGCCAAAAATTTCATCCATAATCTACCAAAAGTATATTATAAAAATTAATAATTATAAAAAATATATTTCATGAATAAGAAAATTGTTTATTGGTTTTATAAAATATTCAAGTAAATGTAAGATTTATGAAAATATTGAGTAATTTGTACTAACATCGTAAAACTGCCATGTCTTTCTATTATTTCCTGACTTATTGTTATGATCCTTAGTAGATTTATATGTTTTTTTAGGCTTCGTATTTTAGAATGACACTGCGGTCCCGTCACATCGTATCCTTTTTTCTTCATATCTTGGGATATTTTATTCCATACTTGTTTTTGAGAAATTTTTCCACTGTTCAGAGTTCCTTCCATAGACCTATATAATTCCAATAATAATAATACGCAGGGTGAGTTCCACCTGTATACTGAAGTTTCTCCTGTGCAAAAAAAAAAAAAATAATTAAAATTCTCGCATAATATATATGAAATAAAATGATAATAGAATTTCAGATGTTCATTAAACCTTCAAATTCTGGAGTTTCAGAGTTGAGATCGGTTGGATTATCACTATCAAGTCGTTCTTCTCCAATAAAACTCTCTGAAGTCTCTTCATCGTATAATTCACTAGATTCTTGATCAACTTCAACAGATGCGGAAGCTTCAGAATTTTGATTAATAATTTTTCTTAACAGCTCAGTTGCAAAAAATACATCTACAAATAAAATAAATTTACCAAATATAATATATATTATTAATGATAATAAATATCGTTTACTTATTGAGTTAGGTTATGCTATCCATTATTCAGGAAAAATGTATAAATATTTGTTGAATATAAACTAAAATCATAAACGATAGCTTCTACTACAATTTCTCTTTCAGAATCATATAATGTTATTTTTCTTGTCGCCATCTTTAAGCTTTGAATATCATATTTCAAAAACAATGTCAAAAATTGCGCCAAATTATTCTCAACGTTCACAACGACCCACCTCTTTAGATGGGTCGTTGTGAGCGTTGCGTGAGCATTAGTCATGACGTCATGAGTGACGTTTTCGCCGTGACCACAACGACCGCGGTCGGTATGTGGAATGGCTAAAGGTGCATTTTGATCGTCGTGAGCGCTTAGTGGAACGCACCATACGAGTACTAGGTCCTCTATATCAATGTCAAATTTTAGTCACGAAATTCCTTATAGATTTTCCCATTACACGACGAACGTGACAATAATTAAGGCAGTTCAAATTAATTTGTCAATTAAGAAACATTCTGACCGCAAACAGTAATTAAATAATAACATTTAAAAAATTTGCAAGCATATTAAACCCCTTTACAAGCCAAGTAACTCGTTTAATACCAAATTTCTTATATTTAAACTTATTTGTAACTTGTACTTTACTATTTAAAATCCTTGTAAATTTCATGGATTAACACGTAATTAGTTTGTAGGGTAAATATAGAACCTATCATAATTTTATCTTAACGCGAAATACAACTCTGAATGTCAAAATACTACAACAAATTTTTGGCTTACAGGAATCATACCTTTGGTCAAAAACGTAAAGATTTTTAGAATCTTTCGATATGATGCTAACGAAAAGAGTCAGAGTCGAGACTTAGCTGTAAGTGTAACTCCCCGATGTTAAAAAAGCATTGGAGTTTAACAGTCGGGAGTCTTCGTTTGAGCTAAATCTTAATTGTGAATCTTAGTTTTAGTGTTGCCAGTGATTGATTGTTGTCGATCAATTCTAGCATATAGAGTATGATAAATAAGAAACAAATGTCAATGTATAAACGTTTATTCATCTGAATCAGACGCTGTTCCTAATCCACTAGACGCATCGTTGTCCATGTCCACATCTTGCTTAGGAGTTATTTCACCAACCGCTTTAATACATCTTATTGTGTATTTGTTGAAATCGCATCTGAAAACAAATACATTTAATCTTATAACACCATGGTATTCATACAGAACAAAGATTAACGTTTGTATAAAAAATGCGAACGCTTTAATATTCGTATTAATATCAAATGAATGAAACATATGAGACTGATAATAATATAAGTATATAACGTTATCGTTTAACGATAACTTGACAAGTATAGGTTGAGTTTTACCTAAGTTTCATATCCAAGTTTACAGGTCCGTTCAAGATTTCTTAAGTAAATATAAATTACGTACAGCAGTTAATATAATACTAATTAATACCAAAAAGAGTACTAGCGACCTCAATTCCAATGATTTCGAGTCTTATATACATGAGCATAATATTGTTACAATTCCAATTTTCTGGAATGTGTTAGAGCCTTATCTGAAACGGACATAAATCAAATTTCAGCTTGCTGAAAACGTCTCTAACTTGTGGAAAAATCGAGAAACATTTCAGTCATCCCGTCGTAGTAATATAAGAATCAAAGACATTATGCAAAAACGGACGCCTGGTTATCGTCGAGTTCAAAATCTCATTTGTATTATGCCATCCTTTTAGTGTGGCGCGCTGAGACAAATTATATAAAAAATAAGGAAAATAAATGAATAATATACGGCTACATTATACGTACAAAGTATCGTATTCTATATATATGTTCGTCACAAGTACATTTGTTTTTTTTTAAATATATATATATAATAGGGGGCAAACGAGCTTGCGGGACGACCAAAAAGGGCAGTCTTCGCAGAAAACTGCTGAATGAATGAATGCTGTCCCAGCTATCTTTGGATATCGTAAAGCTTTAGAATTTGTTTAATGTATTTAAGAAGTAAAAAACCTAATAATGCGTACAAGTGATACTTAATACTTTTTCATGAATGTATTAAGAAATCGTAAATTTCTCTTGTATAACAAAAAATATTGATAGAGATACAAGAATAATGGATCAATTGGTGCCCCAGTGAAAGTTTGAAATCGTAAAACTTTTTATGAAATAAAAGTCTAATAGTTTGTTATTTACTTTCCTTTTATACTATATGAAATGACATAGATCAATGATGAATATCATTTGAAAGGTGCATTTTTTATGTTAGTTTAACCAAAGATATTTGTTAAAGGTTCTAGAATCTAGAATCTTCGAAATTAGAATATTTTAGTAGATGTTCTATTGTGTAGGTTGTTAGTCAAAATTTATTGTAACTTTGTACGGTTTAAATTAAAGAAAATATTTTCGTAAAATGTATCTATTTACATAAGGAATACACATCACGAGGATTTTCCACAATATCTATTCCATTCTCCGAGTATAAATCACAAGCTGAATACATCAAGATTACATAAGTTCATAGGCGTCAAATATAACTGATAGCATGACGTTATCTGTTATCAGTCACGATAAGGTCAAGTGGATATAAGATAGTGAGATGACTATAACTTGAAAATGCCTTCTAACAAACATTGCCTATTTATGGAATTAATTAGCTTTCTAGGTCAACCGCAGTTCAAATTGATAAATTAAACTAAATTTTATTGTCTTACTAGCTGCCCCGCGAACTTCATCTCCTAAATGTGATTTTACTTAGCCTACCTTTTTAGTACATACTAACATGGAACATTTTGCTATGCTACCCCAGAGACTGTTAGGTTTTACATAGAGGCAAAAATGTGTACGATACAGTTCCTCTTAATATAATTTTTATTGACTTGGATCGATTGTTAATTCTTTATAATATACTAGTGGACCCCACAGACGTTGTCCTGCATGATATTTAAAGCGATTAGGATATTAAGCAAAGTATGAAAGTACCGACTGCAGTGCCATCTGCCGGGCTGATTTGTGAATCTAAACCATTCCCAGATCCCCTTGAACACACACAAAAAATTTCATCAAAATCGGTCCAGTCGTTTGAGAGGAGTTCAGTCACATACACACGCACAGAAGTCAAAGTCAAAGTCAAATCGTTTATTTCAATTAGACCATCTAAAATGGCACTTTTGAACGTCAAAAAAAAAAAAATATAAAGATGATTCTAGTTGCCCCTTCCAAAAGGTAGTTTCGTGTGGAGAAGAATGGGCAAGAAACTCCACACTTACTCTTTTAAAATAGGTTTACAATATTTTGTTACATTTGTTAAATAATTATATGTGAAGACAATGTACTCTTAGAATAAACTACTATACTAAAAAAGTTAGTATACATGTTCCTCACATATTTACGAAATATATATAATATATTTAGAATGTTGAACCTGAATCATAGTATCTGAATATTTTTAAAGTTTATATATTTAAATATGATTTTAAACTTAAAGATCACTTATATTCTAAAGGTCGTTGTTTTAGTAATAACAACCGTTTTGTTAGATTACCTTCACGCCTGATAGCTACGGCCAAAAGTCTATATTTGTAGTATCGTCAGAAGATATATATATAAATACTAAACCCTTTATTCATCTGTCTCTTTACTGAACGTACAATTTGACTATTCGGAATACGACTTCGACTACGATATTTATCGGAGCCCGCTACCCGTAAAACACTTTTGTTTAGGATCCCAAATATATAATAGATAAAAAATATTGGATTAAATTAGACTCATAGAAGCTTACAGCTTCAAAATGTTTGTTTAATCGAGACTAGACTCGGTACAGTTAAGAGCTAGGCGCTAAATAAAATGTGAATAAATAATGAAATTGCATTGTTAGGATCTGAATACACAATTGTATTATAGAAATATTCTCATGAAAAACTCTTGACAATTGTAATTTTGTGCTAATTAAATAAGATCTAATACTCAGTAGTATAGCATAGTATAACTATATTAAGGTTAAAGGCTTAAAACTTAAGTATGTGATGAGTGCAATAGTGTAAGACACTGAACTTATTTAAATTAAAAAAAAATTGAATGACACAAATAGGGAATAACGTGACGATGGGGAACTCAATAGTGCAACAGTTATCTGCCGTTATACAAGGCAATCTCTGAATCAGCTGATACCGTAAACAATCGCAAGTAACGAAAAAAACTTTGACAAATTTATGTTCATATCAAAAATGGATGTAGTAGGATTACAGAAGATATTACATAGATAATGGCACAAGGCGAGTATTTCTGAAGTTAGGAATATTTTAATGGACCAGATCTTAAGCCCAATCATAGTACATCTAAACCAATTGAATAAATGGCCTTGAAAGTAGATTTAAGTTTAAGTGACTTTAGATGCCAATCTCCCTGAGGTCGTAGGTTCGAACCCGGCTGTGCACCAATGAACTTTCTATGTGCTCATTTAATATCTCGCTCGTACTATGAAGGAAACATCGAGATGAAACTTTAGACCCAAAAAGTCGACGGCGTATGTCAGGCATATTCTTGCCAATTAGATAAAAACAAATGATCACGAAACAGATACATAAATCTGTAGCCTTAGAAAATTGTAGCACAAATGGATTTTTGGACGATACGTTAGAGTCACCAATCATAGACACGTGACACGATCCGTCTCTTCGTATGACAAATCACGATCACGTGTTTCTTGTAAAACAGTAGGTACATAGGAATTTGATACCATACTTGTCAACTGTTTATTAATGATTTCATTTATGTATATACTTAGTCTGGCCATAGATACTGTTACAATTAAAAATAAACAAAATATTACATTTGAATTTGGAATCTGTCATTTTTATATGATTGTTCATTGAGTTTTCTCATTTTGGCGATACCATTCTTGAGAAGGTAGTGAAGCCCCTTAACAACACCATGTTCAATAACCAAGAATGGTCCTTCCAGTAAGACTCGGCGCCGGGTCATAAAGCTCGGTCTACGCAGTCTTGGTTGGAAACGAACGTTTCGGAAATCATCAGAGCTGAAAGCCTTAATCCGCTTGATTCTGGTTTATGGTCAGTTTTAGAGAGTACGGCTTGCTCTAAACGGCATGATAATTTGGAGTTTAACTAAAACCCTATAACAATCCGTACAATTGAGAGTGAAGAATTTTCCCATGAAAAGAGTGTGTGCTTCTATTAATAACTGGCCTTAAATTTTAAAAGACTGTATTGCAGCCAATGGAGACCACTTCGAATAAGCTTTTTATATTTAAAATTGTTTTATATTTATGTATTAAACTAAAACACTGTAAAAGTAATAAATGTTATTTGCAATTGAACAATTTTTTTTCTTTGTTTCAGTGTTTATGGCAAGATTAGGTATATATTTATATATCTTGCTTCAAAACCAGGAGGTAATGTGTTACCTGCCTTTAAAGTTGTGGTAGGCTCTTCACTTGAAGGCCCTTATGTCGTGTTCGAAAATACCTGGAATGGCAGCCGGTTCCATAAACTGGCGGTGGGCGGCAAGAAGTGCCTTAAAACACTGTCGTGGAACGTCAATGTGGCCGAATTTTGCATTCTTGCATGCAGGTACTAATCCGAAGTTCTTCGGAACGCCCATGACATATGCGATAGAAGATGCTGACAGAGCCTTAATCTCTACACAGTGCCAAAGGATCAAGCCGATCAGAAAGAACAAGGTCGTCGACAACTCAAGCCGCTCTGCGTTGGATGCGGTCTTAAGGTACTGGTAATGGGGATCCCCTGCCCAAAACCATTTCGATGGATTTATTCAAAAAGCCATAATGTCTGCTTGATATGTACTAATAAACACACAAAAAAATCGTAAAAAATACTCACATCTTACTAAGCTGTCCATATTTCACCGTCAACACCTTCTCCAAAGCGAGAAGAACAGTTTGCGGGATTTTCTTATGCCTATTGATGAGACACTTCACCCAAATGAGTAGATGCTCTATATGTCTACTGTCTTCCAGTAGACGGGCTATGGAGTTTAGTAGACGGTTCGAGTAGTCTTCTTCCAGGTTTGATACTGTTAGTTCGACTATGAAAAATCAAATATTACATATTTAAAAAAAAAATCGAATTACGGCTGAATATCGTATCTATTTTACAAGGACCGTGTTAGATAATAAAATATTGTTGTTATTGAAAGGTATGCCCCTAGGAGCTCCATTTCGTGAACATTCCATCACCTACCATCACAGTTGCGGGCCACATTGACTTAACTGTCATCTTACGGGTGATGATAGTTCTATTCGTATTTTAGTTCAGAAAATATTTTCCTGAATTAAATCATACCGAAGAACAAACATACAAAATGTTCTTCGGTGTTATGTAATTTCATTAAAAATTTTGGCATAGATTAAAATACTATCTGCTTTTGGAAGAAACTACTTTTTAAACATAGATTTCTATACAAAAACTGTCCTAGCACGGGCATGGTATAACACGGGCATTTACAGATACCGGCAAACTTCTTGAGCATTAAACAATGGAGTGGGGAAAAGTTTGCGCATCGCAAAAACTGATTTACCAATCACGCGATCGACACGTCACTCTCCCCCTGGGATAAAAATCGCTTCTGCGCAGACAAGGACATTTGTTCAAGATGGTTGCCGGTATCTATACCAATCAGTCAACACTCGTTATGAATACATACTGTCGCTAGATGGCACTGCTTCCACGCACTCCTGTATAATATTGTGTTCGTTCAGTTGCAAAGCTCCGACGAGAGCAAGACCCCATGATTTTTCTTCTAGCAGTGATCTCACTGCAAGTGGAGTAGATCCGGTTTCAAGGCGATAAGGTCTGAAAATATAATAAACATCCTAGAAAACAAATTTAAATTTTTCCTAAATAATAATCGTATTGGATTATTTGATTTTAGGGACAATTCTGGTAAGCTATAAACAAATTTTTTTTTTATGTTATAGGAGGCAAACGGGCAGGAGGCTCACTAGATGTTAAGTGATACTGCCGCCCATGGACACTCAAACTGCCAGACGGCTTGCAAATGCGTTGCCGGCTTTTCAAGAATTGATACGCTCTTTTCTTGAAGGACTCTAAGTCGAATTGGTTCGGAAATACTTCAGTGGGCAGCTGGTTCTACAAAGTGGTGGTGTCGCAGCAAAAATTGCCTTAGAAAACTCTCAGTTGTGGAACGACGGACGTCGAGATGATACGGATTGTATTTTGCCTTGACGTCCGATAATGAAACTCAGCTGGTATAATAAACAAAAATCATGATAATCTAAACTGATTTTACGAAAAAAATCTACCATTTATTTTCAGTTCACTGAGAATTAAATAACGTTTGGAATTATTTTGAAAGAAATTACTTATTAAACTATGGAAATTTACCTAAACGTCCCATCGAGTCCTGCATTTTGACTATACACCAGCAATCCCTCAGTAGCGCATACAGCGAAGCTTTCGCCGGTTGGTGAAAATCTTATACTATGTACTCGAACCTATGAATATGGGAATTAATTAAATTAATTCCAATAAAATTAAAACAATTGAATCCCCGACGCAACTAATCTCTCGTCCAGGAATAAACGTCTCCACCAAATCAGCTTTCTCAAAATACAGAGCACGTTCACACGTCAAACTTTTAACACCCCTTTCGTCCTTTTACGTCGTATGTTAAAAAGTATTCAACTACTTGTAGCATATATATGTACTTAATGTATTTTTTATAGACACTTTACATCGATATCATATTATCGTCACTCGCACAGAACTACAGAAAACTGGTCTTGCAGGATTCGCGTGAATGTGTGCGTGTACGCAGGTGGTACGTAGTCAGTGCGCTTGGTGGCTTTGTATTTGATGCACATATGTTTACTTCGTTATATTATAAGTGAATTGTAACAAAAATTGTAACATTTAAAATATACAATTAATAATGGTGGTCAATTTATTTACCCCATATACTTATTAATCTATATATATAAAATATATATATAAAATTCTCGTGTCACGGTGTTTGTAATTAAACTCCTCCGAGATGGCTCAACCGATTTTAGTGAAATTTTGCGATCATATCGGTTAGGTCTGAGAATCGGAGAACATCTATTTTTCATTCCATGAGGATTATTTATTAATTGTTAAGGGTTGTTCAACTCTACATTTATTTTTCTATTTTTTAGACAAAAATTTTTGTTTTTATTTTTTATGATACAAATACATACAACCGTTAATTTTCACCCCTCTACAATCAACCCCTATTTTGTCATACAGAAGTCATAGTTCCCGCTAAGTCTCGAACCTCCTCTAAGACTAATTTGGAAGCAAGGAAACAATCAGAAATCTAAAAGCTTAGGCTGTAGCTTGTTGTTTTAAATCATACCTCGGGTTTGACTTTCCTATCAGCCATATCTCCAGCCTTAACCCCTGGGAGACGTACACTGACGTCACCGCCTTCTAACTCCGTACGCTGCTCCACTAAAGCCATGTTACCAAACTCCGTCAGAAAACGACGGTTTATAAAGTCCTGGAAAAAATCGAATTTATTATCTATACTTGATATATGGCCTCATGTCTACATATACACTTATAAATAAATATAGATGATTTCTATTTTTATAACGAACAATAAAAAATAAACAAATCAATTAAACAATAATATCAACAATAAACTTATCTACTAACAGTTAAAATTGTGAAGATTAGATTGAGAAACTTAATTTGTAATAGAGTAAAACAAATGATAATACAAACAATAAAGTAAAATAAGGTTAGGGGAATTTTAGAGCAACAAATGTAATTATAAAAAAGCCCTTACATTGACAGCGTCCAAGGATCGATTCTGAGTGATAACAAATTTTCGTATTAAAACCGCTTCCTTTACACTGTATAGACAGACATGCTTCGAATTACCAGCACCGAGAAGACATGAGCCATCCGCTGAATAGCATATTGTTGTGAATGCTCTGGAAAAAGGATACAATACATCTTCTTTATGAGAAACAGTAAAAAAATAAATATTTATTGTAGATACAAAAGTTTAGAAATTTATTTTAGTATAGTCTGTAACATACAGACTACGTCTTACTGTGGAAATTGACGTTGACACATGGTAATTTAGACAATGACAACAGTTAGATGTTACAACATTAGTTTTTTTACATATTCTCCCAGTCACAAACATAATGGATTTCTGTTGGATGGATTAATTTATCGAAGTTTGGTATTTGGTAGTTTTTGAAATTATTAAACTATCATGGTGAAGAATGAGAAGAATAAATATTTATTTTTACTTCATTTTATTATACATATCTTCCAATATATTTTATTCAAACGAAAAAGGCTCTACGTTAGAAGTACACAAAAGTTTAATTTTACCAAGACTGCACGATGAGTAGAAAAATAATCTTGTAGTAATATAAATTCAAATTTCATTTCAAGAATTTCTTGTATATACTTACTTGGTTTTTAACATTTTTTCAGGTGTTATTAAATCAGTGTCAGCTCTGCCTGACCCCAGGTCATTTCTGCCCTCGATACTTCCGGTTTGGTCACTAGTAGTCACATTGAAAAAGCTGATATTTCCATCTAACGTTGAGACTGCTATCTGTAAAATTATGAAGCTAATTAAAAAAAAAACTTTTTTATTTGATATACATTGACACAAAACGCACATTACTGGATTTGTATGTATATTAAACACATTTTACTGATCTTTCTGGAACACATCGCTTGAAGCGATAAGGCCGCCCATGCCCTTCTTATTAAAGTGTTCTTATTTTACTGGTTTTGAAATTCAAGTTCATAGGTTTATGTTTAATAATTAACAGATAAAAACATGCTTAATTATTAAAAAAAGTTTTTTAGGGAATAAAGATTTCAAAATCCTACCTCTTCACCATCTGGCCTAAAGGCAACTTGCAGGGCATCACTAGTTAACTGTATCGTGTCACAATCAGAACTAGTTTCTATGGAATTCCACAACTTAACAGTTTTATCCCAGGAAGCGGATGCAAGTCGAGAACTTGATAAACTCGGACTGAACGAAAGACTAGATACTGGCGCCTCATGACCTCCTAGTACCTAAATTGCAAAGTTATGTAAAATATTTTCTCAACGAATAAAGATCGTGTTTATTCAAAAAAATATAAATATAAAACTAAATAAATGTAGTTTAGAAAAACACTTTTTAGCGGATTTGAACTATGTTTGATTATAAATTTACAATTATTTTACATAATTTTAATTTTAACCGACGTTTCGCGTGCTTTACAGCGTGCGTGGTCACGGTGACTGAAGACAAAAGGTGTTTTTCTATGTCTAAAAGTTATGTCAATAAAAGACAATACTAAATGTATGTAGTTTAGTTTGTGCACAGAATCAAATAAGTCTTAAATGTTTCTACTGCTTTTACTGGAATACACCATCTCTTTCCATCACAGCATAAACATGATTTGAAGGAATGAAACGAATATGGACTGATTTTTATTACTTATGTAAGTGTATAGTGTAGCCTTATGACCTGCTGGCACTTAAAGGGTGTTAGAACTGTTCTGTCTTTTTCCGTCACAGCATAAACATAATTTGAAAGAAAGAGACCCAACGGAACTGATTTATTTCTTTGAATAAACGGATGATACTTTAGTTCGATAGATAATGCCTTGTTTTCCTGGTATTTAATTTTTTTTCTTATTTACACAAAATTGTTTATTGTATTTAAATGGTATTTAAAATAAAGCCATTAAAAAATACATACCTCCAAAAGCTTTCCAAATTTGACAGACCAAAGAAATATCTCGAAGACATCCTGTCCACCGGCCGCACACAATTCGCTACTGGAGTCAATCGCTACACAACTGAATTGTACGAGACTGGGTGATGTTAACGTCCTGAAGTTTCGGTACCTAAAAAATGCCCAATTAAAATTAATACGATTTAATAAGAGCAAATTTACAGATCTATGATTTTAACTATTGAATTATTCACGAAAACTATTGTAAGTAGTCTGTCAAATCATGACGTATATACATATTATATACCTAGTGTGACCTCCACCGTCACATCTATTGAAAACCGCATGAGAATCTGTCCAGTTGTTTTTGAGTTAATCGCAAACATATAGCGGGGGGACTTTGTTTTTATGTAAAACCCGATCACTAATGTAAAAAACCTGCTCTGGGGGCGCTAATTAACTATGACTTTAGCAACACTAATTATACATACACATGTTTGAGAGAGATAGACTACAGACTCACTTTCCCACAAATACTTCGTTATATTGTAAATAACTTAACTGTATTTTAATAATTTTAGGAATTTTTACGAACTGAATTCCCATATCCAAGAATTAGACTCACTTTGACAGATAATGACAATGACCATCAATAATGATATGACGTCTTAATTGAATAACCTTGATTGTTGCCATTTGAAAAAAATATTCCTATAATTTTCCGAAATATGGCGAAGTAGTTTATTTTATTGGTCAAGCTTTAGTAATGAACCTATATAAATTTAAAACATTATAGTAATCATTTTAGTATGTAATACCGTATACTTTTTCTTTTGAAAATCACTTTACCTTGTCAAATCATAACACCTTACAGTCCCATCAAGCGAAGACGACACAAAGAATTTCTTATTTGTACTAAACACAACATCTGTTACAGTCGACTTATGTTCCGAAAATGTTACAAAACAGAAACCAGATGTTGTATTCCATAACTTGATTTTACCGTCATAGGCTCCTGTCACTATGTACAAACCGTCCGGAGAATATGTTAAACAGGTCATATCTTGGGAATGTCCCTGCTGCTTCATCACATACTGTTCACCTGGAAAATATTATGATAACATTAGACTACATAGCAGACATTCATTATTTGGTTTATTTTTAATTGCAGTGCGGATAGCCTGTAGTGTGGTTAAGCTAACGAATACAGTTCTTATTTTTTAAAAAAATATTCGGAAACCGGTTCTTTTTCCAAATCTTATTACATTTTGAATTTAACAGTCATGTCAACTAGTTTTGCTAGCAAATGTCACTGGAAACCTCAAGTTGTAATCGAGTCGTAGATTTCATATAAAATGCAATATTTTATTACGATTTTACTCCAGGTTAATAATTCAGTCAAAAGGACAGAGATTGCCTTCGAAGATAATATACTTTCCTTGAGGCATATATCATTATACAAAGCAGTTTATTAAAATTATTTAAATGTACCTAAAATGTTCTTCTTAATAAATTACGACTCTAAGAATTATGCAGTAATGAAAAATGTAAATGGTAGCATGAACGAATCATATTTAAACTAAAGACTAAGCCTAACATAGATCAACGCTATGGTTTTCTAAACTAATATTATTATAAATTCATAACTTGTCGTCTAACAAAGATAATCGTAAGGTAATTTAAAGAAAATTAATGTTATTTTTGCGACGAATATTTGAGTACTTTAAAGTTTAATTTTATTAAGATTTATAATACGAATATCCAAAACAAATCAATAAAGCCCCAGTTAATTATTATTTTGAAGTTCTTAACCACAAAGACTCGTTAAGTACAATAAATACCACAGTACATTACCATTTAATTAGATTTTTAGCACTTAAATTAGTACAATTAGTTGTTACCATTTATATCCATAAAATTCATTCATTACAAGATCTGCCATGCGCTTTCACCCGCGTTATTTTACTTAATGTTATAGAATATGTCAAAAAACATTTCTGGGGTTATTCCTAGCTGTATGAAATATTCTACCAAAGAAACAATTTGATAATACAAAGAAGATTAATTAGTAACTTACTCTGCCATTCCCAAACAAGCAACTGTCCAATATTCGGGCAACCAAAGGCTATCCAATCGCCTTGAGCAGAAATGGAGACACTACTGATTCTATGTTCCGATATGTTCAGTGTATGAATCAAATTCACATCTGGCATCTCATGTAGGAAGAATATACCATTCGAAAATCCTAAAAATCCGAATAAACAATAAAAATATTTGCTATAATACTACGATGTTTAATGAATTAAATTTCCGATTGTACAATGAGATGTAAATATGATATTATAAACAAAATATTTACTTTACATTTCATACTAGCTATGTGCCGGAGCTTTTGCCTGCATTAATGCGCTGTGTTAATTATGTAGCTTTCTCAATTAATTAAAAATAAATTGAAGCGCTACAAATTTTTAAGCTCTGGGCCTCAGATTGAAACAGATTTCTTTTAAGTAGGCAAGTAGGTCATTTCTGGGTCACCGTCGACTTTTTGGGGTGGTTGGTTTCCGCACGATGATTTTCTTCACCGTACCGTGTTAAATGTATAGCGCATAGACATAAAGTACATTAGTACACAGCCGAGGTTCGAAACTACGGAATCAGGAATGAGGGTCGCACGTCTCTAGAATTTTCTTATTATATTGAACTTGTAACTTTCGAAAAAAAATTGTGTGTATTTTAAACAACATAACATAATAACATAATAATGTTTAAAAACTGAACTTTATCAACTTACTCTACTAATATTCAAACATAACTTACCCGTGACTAACATCTTATTAGCTTTATGATACTGCGCAGCTGTTAACTTCACTTTACAATTTGCGCTCCGTATCGCATCACCAATGTAATGGCGTCCTAATTTCTTATATTGCAATTTTTTTACCTCTTCCTTAACTTCTGGCAACATTTCTTCATCTTCGTCACTCACCTTTAAATATTCAAAAACTATTTATTAAAATTATTAAGCTAAAATATCGTGTTAGTTGAGCAGTGTTTTGGTTGTGCATCACTGAGCAAATAGGCATGCTTTAGAGTTTAGACGAATAACATTGACAGCTGTGTGTGAGACACAGAAAGCTGATCACGTACATGCGTATTGGCATTATTTAATATTATTTTTGCACAGATTTCTAACAACGTAATTTTTGAAGTTATACTTCTTTAGGCGCGTAATGAAAAATTTATGAGAGTGAAATTTTACGATGCGCTCGCACCGTGACACAAAATTAACAGAATGAAGTTAGTGGCGCATGTTGGCACGTACGCCGCCTCTGTTCACTGTGTATTTATATTTATAATATTTATCCACATGCATTGAGTTTCTACATTTAAAACACGTGTTTTCATTTTGGTTTCATTATACAAGTGCGAATTTTATATGTGCGTCTGAATCAAAAGTGATTTAAAGTGAATATTTAAATCAATACTAATTAATATTAGAAAATAATAATAATTATAAATATAATATTTATTTATTTAATTTTTCAAATGTAGTCTTTGATTATTTAATTGTAATTAATTATTTGCATGCAATCAAAAACTATTTTTAATAATGCCAAAGAAGTATAACTTCTTACGCACGTACATAAGTGCACGCACCCTTTTTATTAAAGTCAGTCAGTAACGGTGCGTACAGACTATATAACATAACATGTTATACAACATTGCTATATAACATATTTCAGATAATGTGGACACTGAATGTTATAAAACATGTTATAATAACAAGTTATTGATATGTACCACAATGTTATATTGTTATGTTATTGATATGAACCCAGCATCTAGGTTTTTTTGTTTTTCTTTTGTTATTTAAAATTACAACAGTCGCTGCCGCAGCCAGCAAAACGTCCTCTTGTGTCGACATTGTGGATAGCACTGGAGAATAGGGATGTGAAAAAAATAATCGATTATTAAAAAAATCTATTAAAATCGATTTTTTTACGCGATTTTTATATTTAAAATAATCGATTATTGATCGATTATTTTTATATTTGAATATAAATCATAGTCGATTTTTCCACTGCCACCTCCCGACATTATGTTTGGTCTTATATAACCCGGACCTCGAACTATTACGGATATTTGATATGCATCGATGTTTAGTATGCGATACATTGAATACGATTCTTTGAAGATGTATTGATATACTCGATGCATTGATGTTTTTTTGTATAACATCGAAAGGATGATAAAACCAGTTAATTTTAGGTACAAAGACTCAAGTTTGAATGGAACACTATAATTTAAAAGTAAAATAAATTTATTCAGCAACACAAGATAACATACAATAAAAAAGACAACAAAAATACTGCAATTTGCTACTGAAAAGGCATAACTAAGCATTTATCAAATTTCACCTAAAATCTATCAAAACGAGATTAAGTTAATTTCGATTTTGATTATTCTTAAACATTAATTTGTGTTTATAATTTCTATTGTTTATTTTTCAGTAAAAAAAACCATGAAAAATAAGATATTTAGGGTGATTATTTTGAAATTAATTCAAAAATTAGGAAAAAATCGATTAATAAAAAAATCGATTATTTTTAAAGAAAAATCGATTATTTATTATTTATTTACAGCCTTATATAAGAAATACTAAATATATACATTATAACTGTTATTTTTCTTAATCTACGATAACTGATTCTGTGTGCCTACGGGCAAAGGCCTCCCCCATTGTCCTCCATTTTTCCTTATTGTATACTAATCTCGTCTAGGTTTTAGTCTTTCCTGCCATTTCCATGATTTCATCGGCCAACCTTTTAAATTGCCTACCTCTGTTTCTTTTATGGCCTCTTGGTTGCCATATTTATTAATCGATTAATAAAAATCCATTTTTTATGCAGAATGTCACATCCCTACTGGAGAACGACAATCGACAATGGTTATATAACATTGTTATATTGCATTGTTATTCTAATGTATACAGTATTGTTTTATGTTATAATGTTGAATAACAAGGTTACATACTGTGGACGTGTTATAAAACACAAGTTATATAACATGTTACATAGTCTGTACGCACCCTAATACTGATTTCCAGTCATTCTTAATCTAATATAGAAAATACAAAAAATGTGTCACTGTCAATTTTGTCAATAATTATCTAAGGGAGCGTTCAAGTATTACGTAACGAATTTCGGGGGGGTTCATTTTTTTAAACGTTACGGTGCGGGGCGGGGATTGAATTACGCATTATTGTTAATATTATTTTTGACTTTCCAGTACTTTACACCACATAATGGTAACTTTTAGGTATAAAGAGTCACTAGGTGGTCACGAAACGTTTTATTATTGTGTACAGAAAAACGTTACGGCGCGTTACATTGGGTGTTAATAATCTCCAAAAATTGCGTGACGTAATACTGGAACGCTCCCTAATTCATTGAATTTAAATGTGGCAGATGACCACAACAAATGTCCTTAATCATTATAATAAATTAAAATTATTTAAATTTAAACTTACATATTCCTTATCTTTTTCTATAACATCTTTTTCTTCAATATTATCTTCAACAAGATCATCTTCTTTATTAATTTTTCTTCGTTTCTGGTGCGAAATCTGGACCTCGGATACTACAAGGTCATCAGGTTCAATACTGGCATCCCACAAACAAACTTGTCCATTCCTGCTTACTGTTATCAAATCAAGACTTTTCTTCTCAAAAAATACCCCAATAATCTTATCTGTATGTCCACTTAACGAGAAAATGTTGATATTGTCCAAATATTCTATTGAGTATACTTTTGTTGAAGTATCTTTTGAACCAACAGCCAAAAGCTTGCCACAGGAAGACCAGTCTAGGCATGTCACATCATCAAGTGCCTTTTTGAAAACTCTCTTCATTATAAAGGAACGGAATTCACCAGTGTACACACTTGGTGCTGTCATAATGAAAACTGAAAAGAAAAATGTCATAAAATATATTATTTTGCATACATTTTAAAATAACACTTTGAAATTATTGTGTTACTGGTAAATTTCTATTTATATCAGTATACCATATAATAATGTGCAATATTTTCTATCTTCATCAAACAAAACAAGCTATATGAAGTTTGTTTATGTACATTGTTTTTAAAAAGTTATGGTAAATAACTTTACTGTTTAACCCAACGCAACATAAATTAAGAGTAGAATAATAGAAAATTAATATTAGATCAAAAGTTGCACATGTTAGCTATATTTAACAAATTATAATTTTAAATTGATTTTTTATACCTGTATCATCACAACAGGCCGCAAAATGTTTTCCATCTGGACTAAATTTAACTGCATTAACATGCTGTTTAAATTTATATCTGTGTACCACTGTACATGTTAGCAAACTGATCATTTGTGCTTCACCCTCTGAAAGCAATGGATGACTTTTAAACAATAATAATAATACATTTTAAAGATATATTATCTTTTCTATAACTTTACTACATAAATATATCCGCCAAATGTTGTTTTTAATTAAGTTAAAATTGAAAATGTATCATTACGAAAGTTTAAGGTTTAATATTCAAACATTTTTGAAGTGAAACCTCTTTAATATCGTATGTGCAGCATTTTTTCGTAAGGGAGAGACCGATTGAGAGCGAGTGAGAAGGGCGAATTACCTTATAGAAATTATATTTTTAAAATTAAAATTTCGTAAAGAGAATTTATTTAAATCTCAAATGACGAATTATAAATTAAAATTCCACGTGTTTTTATTATCGAAGAAATCAATTTTAAAAATTAAATTTATAATTTGTAACACATTTAATATTTTAATGACAATTAAATTCATTAAAATCCTATCTTGCTTTTTCCCTTCCTCTAAGTCTCGGAAATCTAAAGTTTTAGGTTTGTATAAATATGAACTAGAGTTAAAAATTAGTTTTCAAAAGAAGTTTCACTTCTGACATGTACGTGTACTTTGTACACATGCACTTTTTTTATTAAGGTAAAACATATTAACATTTAGATCCAAAACTCTCTAACTTAATTTAATATCAAAACACTGGCAATTAGAATAAATCAATTTCTCAAATAAACAATCTTAAAATATTAAAAATTGAAAATAAGAAACTAGCTGACCCGGCAAACATTTGTTTTGCCATGTAGTATATTTTTTCTAGGAATTTTTTTTTTAGTTCAATCAAAATAACTTTGATGAGAGGTTGATCGTAGAGGGGAGATAATTTGGGGTTATATGTATTTTTGTATGCTGTATCGTAAAATAAGAGAAATAAAAAAATTGTCTAATAATAAAAAAAAATTTTGGGGTGGCCACCCCTTATCATTTAGGGGTTTGAAAGATAGATAGTAGCCGATTCATAGATTTACTAAATATGCATAAAAAATTTCATAAGAATCGGTCAAGCCGATTCGGAGGAGTATGGGAATTAATATTGTGACACAAGAATTTTATATATATGGGGATTACTTACGCTCATTAATAGCTAATAGAACTGTTCCACTAGGAGATACATCAAGTGCAGTGTAGTTATAATGACTCTCTATTGCTAGAGTGTTACTTTTATTTCTGAAAAATAATAGTTCTTTCTTTTGAGTTTTAATTCCTAGATCTGTATAAGAGGAGGTAACAAAAATTATTGATTCTTTAAATAAGACATTGTGAAAAACTAGCTCATATAATAAAATTAGAGCAATTATTTTATAAGAAACTTACTGTTTTAAATTGTAAACTGTTAATTTGTTTCCCACAGGACTTATAACACAGTTTCCATCATTAGTAAATAAAATGTCCCCACGTCGATAAACGGTACCTAGTAGGTTTTGAAACTGAAATGGATAAGTATATATTTAATATCATTTATTTAATTATTATACTGCAACCTAAATTAATTCAAAACCTACCTTATAATTATACTTCATGGTTACTATATTTTTTTAACTTAACGTAGTTGTTAAAATTACTAAAGAAATTAGGTTGACACAAGTCTCAGGATTTCAATTATCAACAGACATCATTGACATACAAAGTAGTGGTAAATGTTTAATTGTTTAATGAACAATAATTAATTTAAAATATCTTTATATTAGCAATAGTTGATGCTCGATACAATCAACACATGCTGATGCACATACGAAGTACGAACACATGTTTATGACAGTGACAATGATAATTGATAATAGAACGGTGAAATGACTCGTATCTATGAATGTTGTCCACAGACGCTTATCTTAAAAAGGCGTACATATTAATTTTTTTATTAGCAATGTACTTAAATGACTTGTTTTGTTTTCTTGGATACAATGGTGCCTTTTATAATAAAAAAAATACAATTATAATCAGAATAAAGTGAAAAAATTATCAGCAAAAGTATGAATTTGTTGAATAAAATACTATGCAACAGATATTTTCTACGACTACTTAAAAATTTAGTACAATGAATACTTAATTGAGATTTTATGCTAAACTAAAACTTTGGATCTGTAATGATTTATTTTAAAAATCCCGCATTATTTAAATGGCAACATTTTTTAGTCATAACAAATACTTTTTTTTTTCAAAAAATTGATATTGCGTAATATTCAGCATAAAAAACGATACCTGTAAACTGAAAAATTTAAATAAATAAATAACCCAAAATGCAAAGGTTTTGTGTTAGTATAATCAGATGATATTTATCTAAAAAAGGAATAAAATTCTTATTCGGACATGCGCAGAAGGATTTTGCTGGCCAGCGATCCACATCAATGAAATGCATAACGTCACTACAAAATTCCCAGCTCAGGATTGGTTGCGCATTTCGGAAATAGCGTCACAACGCCAATCAGAAGTTGAGGCATATCGAGCTCTGCCTTGAACATCAATCGTCATATGACCCATTCTATTGAGTCGGCAAAGCTTGAGCCATATTTGTCTGTGCTAAAATAGTTTCGTGGAGTGAGTGTGTGCAGATAGTCATCACATTTTTGGGACCTGTAAATACTTCCACTCAACACATACAAAATGGCCGAAGCAAATCCCGTTTATGGACCTTTCTTTGGAGTTATGGGGGCGGCGTCAGCTATTATCTTTAGCGGTATGTATAGTACGATTGTTAGAATGGCTGTTTCGATCTCATATTGATCTTAGTTCGAATGTACTTAGTTTTTCATTAGCTACAATCCTAAGGAATATCAGTAATTTATAGTACTATATATTCGAATGATATAAACGATCTAAGTATGAAATCAGCTATTTTAAGCATCCTAAATTTAGGAACAGCCGCACCTTGTGGCATATGCTATATCTTCGCTTACGTAGGCCCTCAGTAAACGCTAATATGCAATAGATTGTCTGGTGTTGGCATAAGGGTGATATAGTAGGCGTTGTAATATAGATTATAGGGTTGAAACTTGGGAAGTTCGGATTAGTCATGTGATTATTGTAGTAAATGAATGTTGGTAGCATTTTAGTTTACGTTAGTCCTGTTCTACCAGTTTTTATTATGTATATAGTTTAGATATCGTTTCTTATAGATTGTCTTGCATAATTATTGTATAAACTGAAGGATTGGGTTGTACCTAATTGATGAATACAAATCTCCATAGAGCTATGTGAAGCTATTCTGACAATAAAGCAGTACCTAATTGTCATCACATGATTGATAACTTGAATCATGTGATTGATCATGAGTACATAACCTAAGTTTATTGAACAAAATTTTATTGAACTCCAATTATTAAATACTATGCATGAATTTGTACATATTTCTCTGCTATATTTGTTTCATCAATATTAGTGTATTAATATTATTTTTTACATAGCAGTTAACAGTTTGTGTCAGTTAAAATGCATAGTAGTATCTTTGATTAGTAATAATTACACCAATCAAGACATTGCACTACTTAAAAATTCTGTTATTTAAATGACCAAAGTTATGTCACATGACTATTGACTTAGTTATTAAGTCACATGTTCATATCCTTACACCATGAGATTACTTAAAAGGACAAAGTTCTCTAAGTGAGAGAAATAGCAAATCAATTTGCTGATTGCATTTTGTTTTAGAACAATAGATTAGTAAGCAGTATGATAACAACAATACATACTTTCATTTAAAGTCTTGCCTTGAATTTGCAGTCATTAATTTTCAAATTTATATGATTATCTGCCTAAAAATGATGATTCTTTAAATTATAATAACTATATAAAAAGAGACATTTAGGTGAGAGATTTGACCTGTTTGTTCAAAAATTGGGTCAGCATTGAGCAGACCTGAAGTATTATTTATTTAGGAAATAGCATATTTTTGCAATATTACTTATTTAATAATTATCATTGCTGTAACTAAACATGACAGTTACTTAAGTGAAGGCATAATTCACCGCTAATGATTACTTATTATCTGCTTTATCAGCTCTTATTATATGAAATATATTTTTAATAACCAACCTTCTTTACATTGGAACTGCATATAGCATAAGAAGATTTAGAACAATATTTTTTTTATATAATTGCAACTTATAGTTCAAAAACTTTTTGCCTTTTCCTATTAAAATTGTTATCATTTTTAGAACAGTCATAAATTGATTTGTTTACTTTAAAGTATCAATAATGTTAAATAACATACTTATACTATTCTTGAATGATTCCAGCGCTGGGAGCTGCATATGGAACAGCCAAGTCAGGCACGGGTATTGCCGCCATGTCGGTGATGAGGCCCGAGCTTATCATGAAGTCCATCATTCCCGTTGTCATGGCGGGTATTATCGCCATTTACGGTTTGGTCGTGGCTGTGCTGATTGCTGGTTCCTTGGAATCATCAGCAACTTACTCCCTCTTCAGGTAAAAACTAGCAAAGAACAAATTATAATATTTAATAATTTAATCCTAGTTTTACTAGTCTTCGAAATTTATAACTGATACTTCAGAACTGAAGACACACACTGATAAATCTCTAATACTATGCATAATATTACAATATAAAAAAATTTAATATTTTCAAAAAAAAAAATAGTTTTTGCTAATTTACCAAGCAGAGCAGCATCTCAAGTTATACAATATTAGTTGCATTTCAAATTGATTAATTACTTTATTTATACAAGGTCAAAATATATTTCTTGGACATTGTCTCAATAATATACATTGATATTTGGTTTTAAGATAAAAAAAACAAATGAAAGAAAACTATGACATACACATGTCTGAATTGAAGATTGGATTGTTATTTTGATTTTATGGGATCAATTTTATTAAAAAATTTGTTTTATTTTTCAGAGGTTTCATCCACTTGGGCGCGGGTCTCGCTGTCGGTTTCTCAGGTCTAGCTGCCGGTTTCGCCATAGGCATAGTGGGTGATGCTGGCGTGCGTGGTACAGCCCAACAACCTAGATTATTCGTCGGTATGATCCTTATCCTCATTTTCGCTGAGGTATTGGGTCTTTACGGACTTATCGTCGCCATCTATCTTTACACGAAGCAATAAATTCTGCGCGCACACTCTCCGCAACATGCCTCCGAGCTCTATGTCTCAACTCCTAATCTATGCTCAGTTTTCAGTCTCGCGCACATCGTCGCCGGTAGTATACGCTTTGCATAGCGCTCTGAGGCATCTTCTGTTTAGAACTTATCCCAACTAACTCTCCCATTCGCATATCTCCGGTTCGACGCGGTTTCGATGCTGCGACTGCGCCGCGCCTCGAGACGCGAACTGTATAAACACAATTACTTCTGAACTACCGTGCGACACCTAAATTATTTATTCTTAATTTATTTGCCTTAATCCTCCCATTTTATTTTGCGGCTGACACAACATATCAGTTGAGTTGCGTGACCACCCATCGCTAACGATGTTACAGACGATATCAATTTTAGATTATTTTAGCATTAAGGCGAAACTAATGTACAGTTAGAGTAGAAAATTAAGTCCAAACGAGTTATATTGATATAATTTATAAACTGTTGAACCTGCAGGGTACTGTGTACCAATGTCTTCTGGGCAATTAGGTGTTACCTGGCTTATATAACATGCTGTCTACAGCTTTGTCACAGTGGGTGTACTTATCCATTCTGTTTAATGTACCGCTATTGTATTATCCACAATGAATGAGAGCAAGTCACAAACAATGTATTGCCAGGGATCAGTTAATAAACATGATTTGTACATTCCATACTATTTTGTTTCTACTTAATTGTTTGTGTGTTTTATTTACCTTGATCTTCAAAATGAGCGAACAAGATACTTAATGTTAAGAAACAGATGCTTCATGACACCGCACTGTCGTATTATATATAATAAATTATATTAATAATTATAATGTTTCTGATGACTTACTATGTGAAATATATTCAAGATATTTTTATGTATACCTCATAGTCGAAATGATGTTTGAATGAATTATAAATTGGTAAGTAAACTAAATACAATTAGGTAAAATTGTATTTTATTTTAGGTTCCATGTTAGAGAATGTTATAATCTTTGGTGTTATTGAATGAATTGTGTTAATAAAATATTTTGAAAAGTACTGTAAATTATGAATCGAGTGTTTTAGTTGGCTCATTATCCTTCCCCTATAAAAATTATTAAGAATAAATATTCTATAAAAGTTATCTAGATTATACAAATTTGGAAATCTATATGCACTAATGAGAGGAAACTACTATTATTGTTTGAAAGGTTAAAATAATATTTCGGCTCGTATTCTAGAGATGACCACATTCTCGTATATATAGATTGATGGATAGCGCCCAATATGAGATTGTGCCTTGAGATCGAATCAAATAATGGACCTAGCTCTTAATTGCTGCATATGCAAGGCTAATTGCCCTCCTTCATCGGGACGCCATGTCCACGTCGCCGAATACGTATCCAAACAATTTGTATTCACATGTATAGCACCTCACTCACTTGGCGACGGTTTGGCAACGTCGCCAATTTTGGAAGCGTAGCCACGACGACGGGTCATTTGGGTGGAGACTGGCTACTTGGCAGCCTGGCGTCGTCGCCAACAAAATGTATGCGAGCAAGTTGCGTCTCACTCACTCGGTAGCCAACGTTTCGCCAAGCAAGACGCCAAATTCGCGCTCATTGCAATAAGATAGCGAAAAATGAGTTTCGATACTGAGAGATTCATCGTAGAAATTCAGAATCGTCCCTGTTTATGGGATGCCTCGTTATCTGAGTATTCTGATCGTAATATGAAAATTAAATGTTGGGAAGAAATAGTAGATACCTTTAAAGAACAAGATAATATTACGGTTCAAGAAAAACAACATTTCGGTAAGTGAAAATCATTTGTTTATTTAGTTTATCTATTAACAACAATACATTAAGCAAACCTATCTTGCCATCGTAATGGATTTGTTACAAAATATTCTGCTAACTTGTCTCGATTAGTCAGTGCTATTCTCCCCCCCTATCACGATCTCGATTTGTGGCAGTTTCAAATCCCGTCACCGTCAACGTATCTTCGTAAGAATATCCATCTCTAGAACGTACAAAATAGTGCAAAATACAACACGACCTTACAATTTTCATCGCTAAATGAATATTGACATTAATTGGTCTGTGAAATACCTCCATTTGTTCGATAATATACCAAATGTACATTCGATGTAACGGCGAGCTCGTGATAATCGGTGGTTGAATATTTTTTATTGGAACTGAGATTGTGTCCTCCATACATGAGGTTTTCAAGTAAGCCAAAGGCTTAATCTCCAAGAATCACGTATGGACTATTATCACCGTTCTCTGTCAGCGGCTTAGCGTTAGGAATATTTAGAGTTTTGTTTTGAAGTTTAGCGTAAAAAGCAGTATCTGAAAACACCCGAATCGCCGCTTTTCCCATAATATGCTCCAACGTCTATATATAGGAAGTTGTAGTTAGCATCACAAATAGCATGTACACAATAGAAAAATAATATTTATAGTTGAAGTACATTGATCCAGTATGCATAGGTTTAATTACTCTCATGTGTTTACCATCAATGGCACCAATGCATTCAGGAAAGTTTTTCAAATCCTCTTGCAACTTTTTCCCAATCATCGCTACTAGATGGAGTAGGTATAAACTGTGGTGTTGACATATCACGTCACATACTTCTCGAATATTTGTGCAGATTGTTGTATGACCAAGTCGGTAGTAGTAAAAAATCAAATCTCCATGAATGAACACCCTGTTGCTGTTAAGATATGTTTACTTGTATCAAAATAGTCTACTTGATATCAGTCTGTGCTACTTGTAGTCTGTGCTAGTATGTAGTCTGTACATTGTATAACTAATAAAGTCTCTTTGTTCTCAACCTGCAACTCATTCGTTTTTATTAGGTTATGGGCCCAGACCCGTTTTTTAAGTGTATTATGGAAGTTTAAAGTATTATCTTTATCCATACTGCTATAATAATGTCGGTGAATTATATAGCCAACGTCCCAAAGTTGAAGGGTCGTGAAAACTATGACGACTGGTGTTTTGCGGTGCAAAATGTTTTGGTGCTAGAAAACATGGCGGATAAAATCAAGACACAGCTATCAGCATCGGCGTCTGCGAGTGATATTGAAAGTGATGCTAAGGCCAAGGCAAAATTGATATTAACAATCGATACATCTTTATATGTTCATATCAAGCAGGCAGCTACGGCATATGATTTATGGTCTACGCTTAAACATATGTATGATGATTCCGGCTACATGAGGAAGATTAGTCTACTGAGAAATCTCATTAACATTCGGTTAGAAAACTGTGAGTCAATGGCACAGTATGTTACTCAAATTGTAGAAACGGGCCAGCGACTTCGAGGAACAGGATTCAGTATAACTGATGAGTGGATTGGAGCATTAATGTTAGCGGGATTGACAGAAAAATATGCGCCTATGATAATGGCCATTGAGCATTCTGGAATAGAGGTTAGTGCAGATATTGTAAAAACAAAATTGATAGACATGTGTGCTGATGATTATGTTGGTACTACATCCGGTTCGGAAAGTGCATTTATTGCGAAAGGAAGACATAGATTGAAAAGTGGCAATACTAAAAGCGGCCATATTAATAGACAATCAGATATGACGCAACCTATCAAGGTTATAAAATGCTATAAGTGCAAGAAAATTGGCCACTTCAAAAACCAATGTCCTGAAGTTAAAGAAAAGCAAGTAAACGCATTTAGTGCTGCATTTTTTAATAGTGAATTTAATAAGGATGATTGGTATATTGACTCAGGGGCTAGTACTCATATGACATCATGCAGAGAAAATTTATTGGAAGTGAGAAAAGTACACGATATGAAGGAAATTATTGTTGCAAATAATATGACTGTGCCAGTTGTGTGTGCCGGGAATACACAGATAACTACGCTTGTGAATAATTCTCAGTTTGACATTAAAGTGAACAACATTTTGTACATACCTAACCTGACCACAAACCTATTATCAGTAAGCCAGCTAATAGCAAAAGGAAACAAAGTTATTTTCAAAAGTGATGTGTGTTATATACATAATCAACGGAATGAGCTTATTGGAATAGCAAATTTAAAGAATGGTGTGTATAAGTTGAATACAGTTAAGTCAGAGAAAGTGTTGGCCGCAGCAGTTCAAATTACAGATGCAAAACAGTGGCATAGGAGATTAGGTCATATTAACAGTAATGATTTGCAGAAGATGAAAAATGGTGCTGTAGATGGCATATCATTTGATATGAAGGCTGATATTCAGAAAATAAACTGCCAGGTATGTTGTGAAGGGAAACAGAGTCGTTTACCATTCCAATTAAGAAACCATAGAAGTACAGAATTGCTAGATTTAGTTCACTCAGATCTGTGTGGGCCTATGGAGGTTCGATCGATTGGACAGGCAAGATATTTTCTATTGTTTGTTGATGATGCTAGCAAGATGGCATTTGTATATTTTCTAAAGGAGAAGAATCAGACTCTACAGTATTTCAAGGAATTTCAAAGAATGGTTGAGAAGCAAAAAGGAACAGGAATAAAAACATTGAGAACTGACAATGGAGGGGAGTTTTGCTCAGATATGATGGAAAATTATCTGAAAGATAGTGGAATCATCCATCAGAAGACAAACCCATATACTCCGGAGCAGAATGGTGTCAGCGAGAGATTCAACAGGACAATTGTTGAACGTTCAAGATGTTTATTGTTCGAGGCCAAACTGGATAAAAGTTATTGGGCAGAAGCAGTTAACACGGCAGTATACTTGAAAAATAGATCGCCAGCTTCAGGTTTGGACCAAAAGACACCGATTGAAGTATGGACAGGACATAAACCTGACCTCAGTCATGTCAGAATATTTGGGAGCCCTGTAATGATGCATGTTCCTAAAAATAAAAGATTTAAGTGGGACAAGAAAGCAGTTAAATACATATTAGTGGGATACTCGGAAAATGTGAAAGGTTACCGATTATACAACCCAGAAACTAGAAAGATATGTACCAGTAGAGATGTCATTATAATGGAGCAAGATACTACTGAGATAGAAATAAACGAAGGACAGATAAAAGAACAGCAATCAGTAGAAGAGGAAAGTTCTATGATAGAAAGTGACAATACATTAACAAATCAGGATGATCCTACCTATGTATATGATTCAGAAAAAAGCACAACTTCAACTGAAGGAGAACTTTATCATACATTAAATGAAAAAGAAGATCTATCTGAAAATGAAGAGCCTCCATTGGTGGGAAAGCGTATCAGGAAACCTCCTGAAAGATATGGTTTTACTAATCTTTGTGTTTCAGATGAATCAGAATCTTGGGCTGAAGACATAAGTTATAATGAAGCTACCAACGGTCCAGAGAAAGACAAGTGGCAGCAGGCTATGTCTGATGAACTTCAAGCATTTGAGGATAACCAAGCCTGGGAGATTGTCAGTCAAGATGAGGCAGATAGAGTAGTACAATGCAAATGGGTGTTCAAGAAAAAGCCAGAAAACAATAACAGTGTCAGGTATAGAGCAAGACTTGTGGCGAAAGGTTACACTCAACAGCACGGAGTAGATTTTAATGAGACCTACTCACCTGTTCTCAGGTACTCTACACTTAGATTATTGTTTGCAATAAGTGTAAAATATAATTTTGAAATCACTCATCTTGATGTAGTTACAGCATTTTTAAATGGTTTTTTTAACAGAAAATGTATACATGCAAGCACCTGCTAATTTAAATTGTCCGAGTAATTGTGTTCTTAAACTTAAAAAGGCAGTTTATGGTTTGAAGCAGTCTGCTAGGGCATGGAATGATAGAATAAACGATTTTTTGATAGATTTAGATTATAAAAAGTCAGTATCAGAACCATGTTTATACAGTAAAAAATGTAAGAATGAGCAGATTATCATTGCAATATTTGTTGATGATTTCTTTATTTTTCTAATTGTAAAACTATGACTAATGATCTTAAGAAAAAACTTATGTCTAAATTTAAAATTAAAGACTTACGTCAAATTAAAAGGTGTTTAGGCATGAGAGTGAAATGTGAAAATAACTGTATATCTATTGATCAGGAACAATTTGTAAAACAAATTCTTAAAAAGTTTTATATGACTGATTGTAATACTAAAGATACTCCTATGGAATGTAATTTGAAATTAGAAAAGGCAGAATGTGTTGACAAACAGTTTCCCTATCCACAGCTTATAGGAAATCTTATGTATTTGTCAGTATTAACACGTCCAGATATATCATATAGTGTGAGCTACCTTAGCCAGTTTAATAATTGTTTTAGTTCAGTTCATTGGCATCATGTAAAAAGAATTTTAAAATATTTGCAAAAAACTAAATCTTATGGTTTGAAGTTTACTAAAGATACCTGTAATTTAGAAGGTTTTGTAGATGCTGATTGGGCGTCGAATACTGTAGATAGGAAATCCTACACAGGATTTTGTTTTAAATTGTCAGGCTGTGTGATATCCTATGAATGTAGGAAGCAACAAACGGTAGCTTTGTCAAGTACCGAGGCCGAATACATGGCCATTGCTGAAGCATGTAAAGAGGCAATATATTTAAAAAGTCTTATATCAGATATTATTGGTTGTAACTATACTGTAGTAATTTACAATGATAACCAGGGAGCCAAAAAGTTGACAGAGAATCCTTTGTTTCACAAACGAACTAAACATATAGATGTTCGCTACCACTTCATACGTGAAGCAGTCTCTAATAGCCTTATTAAAATTGAATATCTTTCAACATCTGAGATGCCTGCTGATATATTAACGAAAAGTTTGAGTGCTGCCAAACATAACTATCTTATAAAATTATTAGGAATTCAAAATGTTTAAAATTGTCAAAGTTGTTTTATTACTGCTTAGTATTTGATTATTTTGATAAGTGGTGCTGTTAAGATATGTTTACTTGTATCAAAATAGTCTACTTGATATCAGTCTGTGCTACTTGTAGTCTGTGCTAGTATGTAGTCTGTACATTGTATAACTAATAAAGTCTCTTTGTTCTCAACCTGCAACTCATTCGTTTTTATTAGTTGCAAAATACCTGAAACAAAAGAAAAAGTTTAATTATTTGTAGGTAAGTTAAGTAAATTTTGGTATTTTCAGCTGAATCGTTGCAGAAAAGGTGGAAAAGTATCAGAGGTTGCTACACAAGAGAAGTTAATCGGAAAAAATCTGTAAAGTCTGGGTCTGGCTGCAGCGGATCACGAAAAAGTGAATACATTTATTATAAACAATTACAATTTCTTCAAAACGTTATTGCTATAAGAGCGCCAGATCCGACTTCGGCCACTGCAGACCTTCCAAACTCTGAGGATAATCCTGAGCATGTCACACAAGAAATCAGACAAATACACGGTCGAAAGAAGCAGAAAACAAAAGAAAACACTGAAGATGATAAGTTCATCGCAGTTCTTAATAAATCTAAAAGGGAAAAATGTGAGAAAGGGAATCAAGACGAAGACAAGCTTTTTCTCTTGTCATTAGTTGGAACATTAAAAAAAGTTCCACCAAACAGAAAAATGGCAACAAAAATTAAAATTATGACAATTCTCAATGAAGAAACCTGCAATGAACAAACTCAGAATACTCGTGATGAATGGTCATCACCGCCACCAGATCGGCCATCTTGAAGCTATAATCGTGAGTATTCCACCAGTCGCAGGTTTCTATTATGCTGACTCTCCGAATGCACTGACAGCCATTTCAGATGATTCTTCTATTTTAGACAATATATGGTTAATAATATTCTACTACAGCACTAATATGTTATTATATTTAAGTTTAATGTTAAAAAATGTTAATTACAATAAACAGCTTGCTTACCTTAATGTCACAAATAGTTTTTTTTCTGGACTTATGGATTTTCAGTATAGTATCTTGTTTTGTTAGCTCATTCCTACATAAGCTCAATAATTCATCAAATGATGATACTGACATTCTCACGTAGTTAAAAAACTTTGTAGGATATTTTCACAAATCTTTGTATAGTTTAAAAAAAAACACCACTCCGGCTTCGATCTGATACAAAAGGATGGCACCAAAGTTCTTAGGTTTCTTTCTCTCTTTGCGACGCACGTACCAATAAATAAGTGCGATTTCTTCTATTGACAACGCGTCCATTTTCTACAAGCCGAGAGAACTGACTGGCCAGAAAATGGCTGATATTGGCTACTCCATTTGGCATCCTAAGGAAGCCAGAGGTAGCCATGGCCAGCGACGTCGCCAACTAGTTCTTATTGAGATGTATGCCGGCTAACTCACTTGGCGACTGACTGGCTACGTTGCCAAGTAGCCATAGTATTACAGCGCTAGATCGCATTAAGATACAATTTTCACGGGACCGAACCGTCGCACTAATAATATGATGTACCTACATTTAGTTTCAACATATTGACGTCCGTCGTAGTTTTCTACAATGCCACATATATATAATAGATCCCACATGAAAAAGATATTACAGTGTTTGTAGCTCAAAAATTCTTTGTCAAAATCAAGTTTCTTAGTTTGGAAAGTGTAGATACAAAAAATCTAACAAAGCTATCAATGTTGAATTTTTATTTAATTAATAGACTTTACCTCTGATCCTCCACCAGTCAAACCACTAAGTGCGTAGTAATCTATAACTCTCAATAGCGATTGCGATCCCGACTTCAATGTACTTATTTGTAACGCGCAATCAGAAGCTATGTCATCGACGCTACTGATACTATACTAAGACATTTTAATATGAAATAATTAGGAGTACACAAGGCTGTATGATTTATTTAGTATATTTTTTTTTATAGAACAGCGGACAAACGGGCAGTCGGAACCTGATGTGATACCTGCCGCTCATGGACACTCAATGCCAGAGGGTCGTGAAAACGTTACCGGTCTTTTATGGATTAGTACGCTCTTTTCTTGAAGGACCCTGAGTCGAATTGGTTCGGATATACTTCAGTGGGCAGTGGGTAGGTACTACATAGTGGTTGTGCGGAAAAAACTGTCATAAAAACGCTCAGTTGTGGAACGATTGACGTCGAGGTAATACGGGTAATTTCGTATTGAAACTTCGATTGAAACGTCCGATAATGAAACTCAGCTGCTGGTATTAATCTTAACAACTCCTCTGAACGCTCTCCGTCTCCGTGGTAAATGCGGTAGAAGATTCCGCTTGGAAAGGGATGGATCGTCGACGTTTCGAACCGCTCTTCGTTGAATTTAGCCATACGCGGAGTATGGTTAAAATGACTATTAAGAATATCCATAGCGCAAAATCACCTGCATCATGAGCATACCCCACATGCACACCTTCATGTACATACCCTCACTTTTACACCATCACACATCACAGCCAAATTAGTCATTAGTCCAAAGGCAATTAAATAATTATGTACTTATTCCATTTTTGGCTTTATTTTTAATGTAATTGTTTGTTTATACATATATTTTTTGTTAGCTGTAAGATTACGAAATAAATGAATAAATAAATTGGACTAGATTTAGTCGACCCCAGTCCGAGACTCCACGTAGCAGAGTTTGTTTTTGACTGTGATGTCGTCCGCATAGCAATGAATGTTGCTAAGTTGCAACCATAACATTGATATGCAGAAGAAACATGGTCTGGAATCGGACACAGCCTTGTTGGACGTTGTGGGCGTTCACGGGCTTAAGGTCGAAACATGCTCCGTCGTTTACAATGTTGATGTTCCGATCGGCCAGAAAGCTGGAGATTTAGTCGCATAGTGCGTTTTCCAATTACAGAGCATTTTTCGACTCAGTGCCGCACAATGCCGCATAATGCTGAAGCTTAATTGGAACGTGAATTAGTTTTCAAATGCATCAGCAGAGTGCGCTAAGTCAGTGTTGACAAAAAAATGGTCTGAATAGAGTTAGCAACCTCATTAATGTATAAATAATGTGGTAAACAATAATAATTGGTTGAAAACTTTTTACGCTTAATTTAATAATCAAATTATTTCATTAAATTTTTTTTACTGAAATAAGAGAAAACCTTTAAAGAATATAAGGTTTTAACAAGCTAAATTAACAGTAAAATATTTAGTTTCATGTAAGAAGTTTACATCATTTACGTTTTGAGTAATATTTTTTAATGATTTCTAAAAAAATATATACTTTTTCAAAACCATTGCAATTTTTTCTAAAGTATAATCCTGTAAAGTAAATTTGTTTACAGATCCGAATTTTAAAATAAAATTGTATTCATATTTTAAATGTGGAATATAAAAAAAGTAACTATTTATACCTTCATCCATACTAATATTTATTTTTTTAGCAGTTTGAAATAACTTTAATTATTTTCAAAATCTACGACGAAACGAAAGCCTTACAAATTTTTCAACAATACCTAAATAATATTAATTACTAACGAAAATTTCGATAAATGCCAACTTAAAGAAAAATACTGGTCAATTTTCTGTCACTGTGTTGGTATTGTTTGCGAGAGCATTCGTTTTGAGAGTGCTCAATTGTGCGAAGCGTTGCTGTAGTTGGAACACTCAACGTTGAGCATTATGCCGCAAAATGCGCTCTAGTGCTGTAATTGGAAAACGCATAGTTTCTCGGGAAGCCCATAGGCTGGAAGCTTCGAGATATGTGCTCTGTGTCACACCCGATCGAAGGCTTTCGCTGTGAAACTTACTGCCAGCGCCTCCCCCTTGGACTCATTTGCCTCTGCCCACCTATGTGTAAGGTATACAAGGTGGTGACCAACTGAACGACCAGGGTGAAAGTCGTAGTGATAATTGGGATCGGATGTATTGAAGCGGCCTTCCAGCACTTCAGGACATTGCCAAGCGAGTACAGGTACCGGAAAAAGCGCATTAGGACCGGAGTCAACTCAGGAGCACTATTAGTATGCAGCATAATTGAGGGGATATAGCAGCATAAATTATGAACATCCAAGTTAGACAGACCCTTGCGGACAACACGTTGCCAGAGTTCCAGCATCTAAGTATCAACCGCGAAATGGTTGGTATTGACCTCCCTTGGTTATCCAAAATCGAGTTGTACGCGAAGAAACAGCCCAAAAGGTCGGCTTTCTCCTTCGAGGTATGGGCTAGTGAGTCATCCTCCCTGTGCATCTGAGTCTCGATAAGGAAAGTTATTCTTTCGGCCTTATGCGGGTGTCTCACTCACCGCTCGAAATGAGAGTACAATAAGATGAACCTATTGCATCACTTCACCCCGGTTTTTTGTGAGACAGTGGTACTGCCCCGATCGTGCATGTCCATTTGGCTGAAGCCCGAATGCCCTGGCTGATTGCACTTGTGAAATCTGGTTGGTTCTGTCACAAGTTATTTCACTAGTAGTTAATAAAAATCGATTGATGCGTTTTATGCGCGGTTTCTGTTATTATTCATAAAACTAAGGAAAAAATACATATCCTGTGATATTCACATATCACTGTCTATAAAAACAATACGGGTGGTTGACATAAATTTATTGAAGTAAAAGGAAACATTTGACATTGACATATTTTGTTACGTTTACGAGTTGGCCTTGGCTGGCTGGCGTGTATTAATTGGCTGAATGTTAAGAATTACATTAATTTGTTTATTCTACCTTTAAAATATTAATCTGAGAGAAAATGAAGTTTAAACTTTTTCTATTTGTGTGTGCCATCCTTACCTATTCTAAGACACTCGCTCAGAATCGAGTTAAGGTATGTCTGTGCTGTATTAGAGCTACGTAGGCCGGCAAAGTTTTACTACTTCAGTTAACAATTTTGTTGTCCTTGCAGCTAGAAGAAAAGGTACAGCAGCTTACAGATTTCACAGCTAAGACGTCAATAATTCCGTTAAATTTGAACAGATTTAAGGAGTATGTGAAATCACCACCTAGAGACTATTCCTTCATAGTAATGTTCACTGCTATGGCACCCTCGCGTCGCTGCGCTATATGCCAGCACGTCTATGATGAGTATTTATTAGTCGCCAACTCCTTTAGATTTTCCCAATCTTATACAAATAAACTCTTCTTCGGTATGGTTGATTTTGATGAGGGATCTGATATTTTCCAAATGGTAAGTGCATAATACCTCCAATGATAAAAGGCATCATAACGTTTTGCTGAGTAAATATTGTTCATGTTTCAGTTAAGATTGAATACAGCCCCTGTAATTATGCACTTTCCTGCTAAAGGAAAGCCAAAACCTGCAGATTCTATGGATTTTGAAAGAGCTGGTATTCATGCTGAAGCTATAGGCAAATGGATAAATGACAGGACTGATGTACAGGTAATTATTATGTGCTTGAATCTCTTTTTAAAAGTCAATAAAAGAAACCAAAATTATTAGACAACAAACTGTCCATAATGTATTATAGGCACTTTCTAACTTAGTAGCAACATTTCCTTTGTTGTTAATTAATTTACATATTTAGGATTTATTTGATTGTTTTGGTCTGAAAATAATTATTAACAATAAATTTATGATTTCAAATTTTTTACAGATAAGAGTATTTAGACCTCCAAACTACTCAGGAGCAGTTGCATTTACTTTACTATTTGTGCTTGTGGCTGCATTCTTATATCTAAGGCGCAACAACTTGGAGTTTTTGTACAACAAACAAATGTGGGCAGTTGCTGCTCTATTTTTCTGCTTTGCTATGGTTTCTGGACAGATGTGGAACCAGATCAGAGGCCCTCCCTTCTACCATAGAACCAAGAGTGGACCAGTTTACATTAATAGTGGTTCACATGGACAATTTGTGTTAGAAAGCTACATTGTTGCTGCATTAAGTATCCTTTTATTTTAGTTGGAAAATCTCACACTGACAATGTTATGGTAGATATCAAGTGGTGTGTAAACAGTTTTCAGACTGGGTAGGCAACTTAAAAAGTTAACAATCATCTTTTTTTATAGGTATATAATATTTCAATGGATAACAACAGGTACTCATGTGATTTTTATTATTGTTTATAGGCAAATGTTATTTTTTTCAAGCACATTGGGAACATATTTATAATTATAAACATCTTTAAAACTCTAAAAACTTGAATATATAGAAAGAATCAGGCACACCAAAAACATAATAAAACAAATTACATTTTATATATGGTAGGGGAGCCCAAGAGGGGATTTCGGGATTTACTAAAGCGCGGCAGATTAATATATAGGGGGATACCTTGTACCCGGTTAAGTACCTCCACAAAATATGAGGCCCATATATAAGGCCGCCCGTGAAGGAGACAGGATCAGATTAGTAAAAAAAAATTGACCATCAGAAATTCCCGAGCGCGTCAGATTAAGGTAGGGTGAGTTAATTACATTCTAAAAAGTGTATATTCCACTAATCTGACAATTTGAAAGTGACGTAAAAAAAGGGGAGGGCAACAAAGTTGTAAAAAAAAACGTCATCTCGACATTCTCGAGCGTAGCTAATTTTTTTTTTATTTTGAAGGAAATAATTCAAGAATAATGAAAAATATATAATCTGACGATTTCCGCAAGCCGAAATAACAAAAATTCGTCGATAAAGTTAAATGCGTGCAGCTGCGTGATGCCTTTCCTTAAACCGATCGGAATCTACTAAACGGCGTTCTAAATATTTCCCTCAAAATTACATTTCCTGTGAATTTGAACCGATTCGGACCGATAGATTTTGAGACATTTTGAAAAAATCTTAAAAAAATAAGAAATATTATTTTTTTAAAGTGGTTTCTTTATCGATCAACTTCAAAAACTAATCCGCCTTTGAGCTTGAAAAACCACGTCGATCGCCACCAAGCTGGTCAAAAGCGGTTGATTCGTTCGAGAGATATCGTGAACGAAAGAAACCCGAAAAAGTGTTTTTTCGGGATTACTCCGAAATTTGTGGTTCGATCAATTAAAATTGCAAAATTACTTATGAGGATGATAAAACTGCATCGAATGCCGCCAACCGCGTGAAAATTGCTTGATCCATTCAAAAGTTACTGCGGTTTGAAAATTCCAAAAATAGTGTTCTATGAAACTTCTATCAGACTTTCGAGCTGGGAGAGCTCAAATGCATAGAAATATTATTTCTTTGAACTCAGCGAGCTCAAAATATCAATTTTAAGCGCCCAGGAATGGAATTAGCGGGAAGTTGCAGGGATGGCCCTTTAGGTGAACCGTTTTTCTAAATTTTTTTTGTCAGATCAGGCGAATCCCTCTAGATAATCGTCAGATTATGAGACAGTACGTTTAGAACATAAAGATGAACCACATATATCTTAATCTGACGCGCTTGAGTATTTCAAAATTGCGATTTTTTTTGCAAATTATGAAAATGGCCGTGGGTTTGCGTCCCATCGAAATCGTCAGATTAGTGAATGAGAGCTTTTTTTTGGTGCACTTAACACTCCCTTAGAAAATCTGACGCGCTCGATAATTTTTATTTTTTTTTCATTTTCAACCCTTAAATACAACCACCCGCATCATGCAAACGATCAGATTAACATACGTACATTATTAAAAATACGTAGGGCATTGATGCTATCAATATCTGACGCGCTCGAGGATGTCCATGCAACAGTTTTTTTTACATATTTAATAATCTATAGCCGCTTCCCCCACCGATGAAAAGGTATATATCATATAACATTTTTTTCTTCTTATTATCTAAGCTTTGCATCCCAATAGGTCTCTACGACGCTCGAGTAAATCCCCATTTAGCATCGTGGGCTCCCCTACCAATAGTACTATTAGTTTATGTCAAGTAATGCTAATTTATATTAGTTTTTTGTATGCAGAATGGGACATCTATATTTTTAAACATTTCAGTTGAGTAGGCAATGTCTTTTTGCCAGTATAAAGTGCTAGCCACTGCCATGTAATCAATAAAGTTTTGGACTTTCATAGTCCTAAGTCACAAACTACAAATAATATTTATAATCAATACATTCCTTAATTCCATATAAGATGCTGCTGTAGTGGTTGGTATGATCTTAATGATAGAATCAGCTGGTGGAGTAAAAGGCACTGAAGCAAAAAGTCCCCAAGAAGGAAAGAAACGACGGTTTCAGTCTGTAGTTGGACTAGTACTTGTTTGTGTTTTCTTTTCATTGCTGCTGTCCGTGTTTAGATCCAAGACACAGGGGTACCCTTATAGGTAAGATAATTCACACAGTAAGAAACTTTTTATAATGACTTCAAATTAATTTAAATATAAAATAGCGAATATAAAAAATTTTGCCCACATTTTGCCACAAACATAAAACTTAAATAGAAAAATTATTGCCTAATAATGATACTAGAATATATAAAGTATAAACACTCTGATTCTGTGTGACAATGTTCCCAATGCCAACACTAAGAGTAACACTCAGAGTCAAGACTTGGAGCTTTGTACGTCAAAATGTTTTTGAAATAAGGAAGTCACACTTAATGTATGGCATAAGTTTCGAGTCTGATACTTCGTTTCCCAAGTGGTTTTTATAACAAAACTGATAATAAAATTCACTCCATATGAGAATAATAATTCTTTTTTGAACTGTTATACTATGGGTAAACTTTAAAATTAATTTCATTAACGTTATTAATTATTATATTTCCATCCAGTTAATCTGGTGCATAGAGTACTATAGGTTAAGCAATCCATATTGGCCAGACTCTGCAGACTAGCTATGGAGATATAAAGTGTCTATTTCCATACAATTGTATAATTTGGTGTAATTTAATAATAAATCTCAACTTTAAACTTTTTTTCCAGTTTCTTATTCAAATGAAGATAGAAACTTACAGTGTTTGCAGTCACAAAGGTGTGAAGATCTACCTATTTATTACTGTAATGTGCAATTTATAAGTAAATTAAAGTTAAATAAAATAAATTATAATGATTTGATGGTATTATTTTTAATCTTATATTATTATATTATATTGATATAAACAATAAATAACAAATGTTACATCAAAATATAAAACTATTAATTTTTTTAGTGTTCAAAAAATATTATATTTTATATATTTCTTAAGGATAAAAAATCTTATTCTATAGAATTCCTGGAAAAATAGCATCTCGCTTCAAGGGATACTCTTTAAATGTATTTTTATACCAAACATGTGCATGGATAGCAGTCTGAATCTGAAATCACAAACTATTATTAGAGCTATTTCAAATTTATAAAGTACTATGATGATACAGGCTTATATCAAATATCGTTTCACATTATAATTTGCAAATACAGGATTAAATTGATGATGATGCTATTTAACTAGTTAGTTAGAACTACTATAAAAAACAAGAAGAAAAAATATGATGTTAATAAGTTCTGTAAGCATACCTGATTGCATAAGACCCACAAATAAATACAAAAATATGTTTTTGTAGGTATTAAGGCTATTAATACTGTATAGATTATAATCTCACAAAATCTATGTGGGCTAGAAATGTGATTAAATAACCGTCCATGGGGTATTTTATGGGTTTCTGTTATAACATTTCCTGATTTGTCCTTTCTCAAATTTGCAAAAATAATGTTTGTTTTATACTGTTCATAAAATGCCCATGTAAACATCAATATGCATGGAATTGACAAAAGTTTTGTTCTTCTATCAATCCACACAATTTTTTCTCTATCTTGACTACCTGGAAGCAAATATTATAAGACAATAACAATTTAAATTAATTAAATGTTTCTTTACAGCTACCAAATTTGATCAATGTTTTAAATTGTGGTTATAAGTGGTTATTTCTCCTAGAGTAAATTCATTGATTGCTAATCAAATTGTTTAATAATCTTTTCATACCACAAAATAAAGGCCCTTGTCCTACTGCTGCAACAATGACAGCAAAATAATGAACAAGCCCAGCTATGTAGTGGCTTAAGTTCATCTTACTGTCCTTGGCAAAGACTTGTAGGAAATATGTCTCATAACACCTTCTTAAGCATTGCAAAGTCAGAAGGGACAATGCTATGCATACAGCTGCAGCAGATACTGTAAACAGAGACAACAAAAATACATTACTTTATCATAGGACCATTGGTGTATCTGTTTATTTTTAGGTGTACTATGTGAATTTCTAAAATGTCCAGCCTAGAAATGGGAACCAGTAACCCAGCCTCCCTTTTGTATAAGCCAATGTGTAAGACTCATATTTAGATGTAATTTTTAGGCAAGTTTTGTATAAATAATATTCTATGGTGCATCATGGAAATCTAGATTTAGGAAATCTTTCCTAGTTTTTAGATAATTAGTACAGTTAAAATCTTTTATAACGACATCGAAGGGACTACTATTTGGTCGTAAAAACCGATGATGTTGTTACTAAGTACCTAAAACAATAGAATTCAACCAGAACCTTTCATTTTGGTCAATATAACCGGTATATTGTTCTAAACGTTGTTGTCATAAACGGTTTTGACTGTATTGATAAATATATTCTTAATAAGGTATCAGTGTCAGTACAGTTAGGTATCACTAATTAGTGAATAATAGATAGTAAGGTGTAATGTAAATATTCTTTATATAATATATTTGGTCTCAAGTGATATTCGAATATGAGTAACTTAATTTCATGATATTATTTCTTACCAGATGCTTCATCCTGTTCCAAAATCAGCTTCAACATAAACAGTAAATATTTATGGACAGTAAATTCATAGTAATATACTAAAACTGCATACACTAAAGTTGAAATACTAAATATAGAGGAGAAAGCATAAAAATGTCTGTAAAGTGCCTTTGGAACTTCGATTATATGTAAGTAATTAGCACCAGAACCTTGATACGCAAAAGCACCGTATTTAAATCCTTTTATGATAAATGCCGGGACGTGCTTTTCATAATGATTAATAAGGAAACCGGTAAAGGTGACCATAAAGGCTAAGCTAAGAAAACCTAGATCGAGAATATTTAACATTGTTAAAGAATATACTGGTCAGTGGTCACAAGTATTAATTCTTGGTGTTTCGAAACGGTACTGACGAGAAACTGGGACATAACGGTAAGATAACGTGCAGAATAATAATTATGTTTATACTTTATGTGTTCGCCTTTCTAATTTTCTTAAGATTTGTTGTGCTTTTTATTTTTACATCACATGTCTGTCATCTGTCAGAATATCGCATTAAAACTACAGACTACAGAGTACAGACTAAAGTCCGCGCCACCACTGAATGCTGATTGCCGATAGACGCGGGGCTAGCGCGGCGTAGTAATAATATGTTGATAGTGCTAGGCGTAATTTACCCCAACGTAGCATAAGATTTGCTTCGATTGTTTTACCTTAATACGAATAAAATAATATTTCACAGTCTCTAACTATTAAGGTGCGCTTACACGGGCAACTAAAATTGCTCAATTCCAGTCAATACTCGTCAATTATGACGTCACGACTACATCAAGCAATTTACGGCAACGGCAACAAGCATCAATACTGCGCAATACAATATTGAGCGATATGGCGCAACTTCATCAACTAGGCAATACTGTCATACACGAGCATTTCAGTTTTCGCTCGCTATGGACGACATTGTTCTTGCTGCGGCGGCTTGTAGTGCTTTTTTTATTATTAATCAAAAACAAAAAAGAAAGAAAAGGAATAGGCGTATCTGGGTGCGATCGTTTTTGGCAAAGAGGACAAAATTTTCATTATGTAAAGAATTAGATGATATATTATTCAAAAACTTTACTAAAATGCAAAAAAATAAATAAAAATAAAATGCAGTCAAAACAAAAAAAAAAAAAAAATAAAAATACGACATAAAATAATCAAGCTGTTGGCTATGTTTGACTAGACGGTAAAAAAAAAAGGAACACCGTTGTGTGAACCAAAACAGAATGAAGTTGTAATTTATAAATAATTATAAAATATATTATTTAATTATTTATAAATTACAACTTAACTTAACTTTTATTTTAATTTATTATTTTTAATTTATTTATAACACAACAAACAGAGGCTGACTACGCGCTGGACTCTTGCCGCGCGCTATCCTACTTCCACCCGACCTCTCGCTCTCCCCGCAAGCAAGACGGCAAGCCGCAAAACAAACAAGTGCGAATGAGATATATACAAAAATTGCTAGGAATTTCCAAGTCCATTGGATATTCGTCAATTCGTATCTGCGACATTGCAATTGCTCCATTAATTGCTCCAGATCGGTCCATTCGTGTTGCCGAGCAATTATTGCCCTCGTGTAAGCGCACCTTAATAAAGGGCAACGTCTGGCCGAACATATCGGTGACAATGATTAGGTTTAAAATTTTACAATCCCATATTTTCAGATCTTTTTCTTTGGCTCCTTTAAAGTTCCCTAAGGCATAATAAGCAAGATAATGTAGTTTTGACGTGACAATGTCTTATAATTCGATGGAGCCGGCTGCATGCACGAAAAAACATGACGCATGCGGCGTTACCTCGCTCTGAGGCTTGAAGTGCAAGCGAGAGCGCGGAACGAGCGACAAAGAGCCACAATCGGCCTCCGCGTTCCGCAGCGTTCGACATCTGTCTCTCTCCTACTTGTGAGTGAGCGATGGGTCCGCGTGGACAGCTGCTGTACAATAATACATTTACATGTTTTCGTCAAGTATAAAATTAAAATGTTCTTTTGAAAAATGGAACCATTCCATCAGTATTTTCATATGACGTTGTCACGTTCAACTATCGTCAGTAAACCGACTTTACAGACAACCGATTTTTCATGAATGTTTAAAACCAGATCTTTTTACAATATGTATGGTCATGGTTGAATAGTATTGGTATGTTATTTAAAGCTGGCGGCTTCAACACATTTACACTTTGTGCTTGTGTAGTGTCTGTGAATAAGCGCGAGGCGTGATTTCAAACTGAAATACTATCACAAATACATCATGAAGACTTTCCGTCTCTCTCGCGCTCGGTCAAGCTTATGAGTATAAAAGAGACAGTTATTTTTTTGCTTTGCTACTGTTTATGTTGATCTTTACTGTACATGTTGATCTTTTTTCAAACATTACCAGGACAATCTCGTGAAATGGTGCACAATGTTTTTAATTATTTTAGGCAGATTAATGAAAAAATGTTATTTTTAATTTGACATCACATGCGACTGGGGTTTCTAAGAGGAGTATTGAAAGAATTGTTAGTGAAGTAAAAGTGAAGTGTGTTGAGCTAGATGGAGCTTATGTCGAA